CTACCTCCCCATGCACCTGCCCCTCCACTGCTCACCCTACCTCCCCATGCACCTGCCCTCTCCATGGGCCGCTCACACTATGGTCCTCTGGTGCTCGGTGTGCCCTGAACAGTGGTGCCTTTGCATGACCTCGAGCCTTTGCTCACGGTATTTTCTCTGCTGGAATGAGCATCTCCTGTTTTCTGCCTGACAGATCCCTATTTATCCTCTGAGGTCTTGCCCAAAAGCCACCTCCTCCCAGAAGCACTTCAGGCAGGGTTGTCTGCTTCTGTAGCTTATGCTCCAAGTGAGTGTGGCTCCACCCTCTGCCCAAACCATCGGTTCACACGCTGCCCTCTTCCCTCACACGGTCGCTGGGCCTGGGAGGGGGTCTGCTCCCGTCAGCTGCTGACCCAGTGGGCTCCAGGACAAAGGCACGAAGTGGAAGAAGATGGGAGAGTCACAAAGGGAGCTGGGGAGTTTGGGGCATTAGCACGGTGGGCCAGCCTCGTGGTTTCTTAAACTTCTGATAAAACAGGGCTATTTCTTTCTGAAATAAAAATACAGACCCAGACCCTAAATAAAGCTTGGTAGAGTTCTCTGTGGCTTGAAACATTTGGGCCTCAGCTTCCTGCACGTCTTAAGAGGGCTGTAAGGTTTTCGAGGGTTTATGTACCCTTGTGTTTATAAGCCTCAGCGGCCTAACAGTTGACACTATTTACTGTCTTTCCGGAGCAGGTTCTGCCTTGTTTTTTGAACAGATGGCCGGATCGATCCCTTATTTTTAGGACACACCACGGGTGTGAAACAGCCTTTTGCTCTCTTGTTCCCAGGCTCGGAGGGGAGTGGCTAGACACAGCCAAGCGCCTGCAGGGGTGCGGGCTGCTGGTGTGCCTGAAGGACACTGTGCCCTTCCGCCCGGGGCCTCTGGAGCGAGACGCTCTGTGCCCCATGCTCCACAGGGACAGTCAGACCGGGATGGGCGAGGAAGGGCACCGAGGGAGGAAGGCTTTGCTGCCATCTTGCTGGGCAAGTTGACGGGAGTCCCACCCCCACGTCCAAGTACAGACGGGACCCTCCTTTAGCGAACACTGCTGGCTGCTGACCTGGCTCCCACTGGGCCCTCCCCCTTCCCCACAGAACCCCATCGTTCCTCCCCTGTTCCCTGGTACACGGGGGGACCTCCTGGATCTCAGGGTGACGGCCCACACCCCTCTGGCCAGTCATGGCTTCTGGGTTTTGGACCGGTCAGGGGCATGTAAGGCGAGGGTTGGTGGGTGCTTGTGGGGAGGCTCCTCCCTTCCTTTCTGGAATTTTCTCGAAGTGGCTCCCTCCTCAACCTGCTGGAGGTGAATGAAGAAACATGGACTGAGGTGCTCCTGGCAGCCATCCTATGAGCAGGAGGAGGATCAGCTCTGGATGAGTCCACTAAGGCTGGCTGAGCAGAGCTGATGGAGAGAGCCTGGCTTTTGGGTGGCATTGCTAGGTCTCTGGATCAATGAACCCTGAGGCCTCCCATCACTCTGGACTTCCAGAGCCAATATAGTTCCTTATTTTAAAAAACATGTTTGACTTTGTCTGGCTATGTGTTCACTTCCAGGCAAAAGCATCCTAACAGATACAGCTTCTCAGACCACTGGTCCTCAGAAGCTTCCCCTCCTCTGTATTTTCTGTCTGTAACACTGACGGGGCCCTGGGCACATCGCCTTCTCTCTCCTCAACTAGCTCACAATGCCCTTGAGCAGAGAGGGCCATTCACTCACTCACTCACCATTTCATCCACCTCAGATTATTTAACTAAGCACATACAGGTACAAAAACAAGAGAGAAACGTCCCAAGTCAGGAAAGGGAAATGTTTCAAACCCGCAAAGCACGGAACCATTGTAAGAGAAGGGATGGGACACCACGCTTCCTCGCGGCCCTTCAGGCAACAGGAATTTATCACCTGCACACTGTGTTCCACCTTCTCGACCTGCCCAGGGGCCAGTGTCCCGCACCCCTCTTCCCAGTGAGGGTAACTGTCATTACTAGAGTCCCCGTTCCACGTGTTTCCCCAGCCTTTCCTGTCATCCCTGGACATGAGTCTGCTGCTTCGGTTGAGCTGTTCCGCAACAGCTCTGAGCGGCTGAGTCATGTTGGCGCCGCAGCCCGCCGCGCCGGCCGGCCGTGAAAACGCTCCTGCCCGCTGAGCGCGGAGGCCGGCTCAGCCTGGAACAGGCTCTTGATGTCTTTTTTTCCAGGGCGACAATAAAACTCCAATAATTTTGAGCATCTGTCCCTTGGTGCGCAGCCCCTTTCTGTTCTCTGTGGGTCTCTGACCCCGCGACAAATATGTGAAACAATGCTGGGACAGAAACGGGCCACTCTTTGGGGCAGAGCAGGGTTTTCTGACCGACCCCCCGCATATCCGGGATCCCTTCCTCAGAAACGTGGTGTCCCATCACATGGCTCTGTCTCACCCCATGTCCTGTCTTCCCTCCCTCCCTGCCCTCCCCCTGGTGATGAATGGTGAACACGTGCGTGCGCGTGCGCGTGTGTGTAGGTGCTGGCCCAGGTCCGTGACCACAGCACTGGGGAGCCAAGCAGCCCATGAGCTGGCGCCTTGTTTTTATCAACTGAACAGACAAGTCACCTGGCTCTGCGAAAACTAGCATAAGAGTCTTCGGGAGAATGTTACTAGAAGCTTCCCTCGAAGCCCGCTTTGGAACCGGCCACGGAGTTTTGTCAGTGTGAGCAGCCCGCGTGTGCAGCGCGCGCACCGACGAGAAACCCGCCCGGCGTGGGGGCGCGCGCGGAGCAGCCCCGGGAAGAGGGTCGCCTCCCCGCCGCTGCCGCCGCTGCCCCGCGGGCGGGGGTCCTCACCGCACAGCCTCCATCTGGTCCTTCTCCTCCAGGGAGCCCAGCCTCCGCCCCACTTCGTGCAGCAGCTTGGTTCCCTGGAAGCCACTGCCGCGGCCGTCGCACTTCACCACCACGGCTCCGTGGCTGCTCACCAGCACCGTCTCCCAGGTCACCTCGAACTTCTCGGCCACGCTCTGGCTCCCCGGGGTGCCGTCCCTGCAAAAGAGCCCCTGGCCTCGGCACGCTGCGCGCTGCGCGCGGCCGGGTCTGACCGACGCCGGGGCCCGACGACGCCCAGGCTGCCGGCCGAGCCTCACCCACGGCGCAGCACTTACACCGTGGAACCGGGCCAGCGCTGCAGACCGGCCGTCCGAGATGGAGACCGGCGTGGGTGAGGCTCCCAAAGTCTCTCTCCCTCTGGTGGGGCCAGGATGAGCAGGGGAGGCCAGCCTCTCTGCCAGCAACAGCAACAGATGGCCAGGCCCCCTTCCAAGAGCCAGCCAACTGAAGATGCACGGATCGTTCCTCCAAGGAGGTGACAGTTACCACTGCCACCGCCATCTTGGCTTTCTGCCGGGGACCGAGGGCATGTGGGCAAGGAGTGTGTGCGTACGTGAGATGTGTGTGGGGGCGCGTATGCAGGGGTGTGTGTGAGGTATGTGTGTGAGGGGTGTGTGTGAGGGGTGTGTGAGGGGTGTGTGTGGTGTGTCAGGGGTGTGTGTGAGGTATGTGTGTGAGGGGTGTGTGTGAGGGGTGTGTGAGGGGTGTGTGTGGTGTGTCAGGTGTGTATGCGAGGTATGTGTGATGGGTATGTGAAGTGTGTGTCAGGGGTGTGTGTGTGAGGGGTATGTGTGTTGTGTGTGAGGAGTGTGGGTGTGTGAGGTGTGGGTGAGGGATGTATATGTGAGGGGTGTGTGTGAGGGGTGTGTGAGAGGTATGAGAGGTATGTGTGCAAGGGTTGTCTGTGTGTGAGGTATTGTGTGGGGGTGTGTATGAGTGTGTGTGTGTGTGTGTGTGTGAGGCGGTGTGTATGAGTGTGTGTGTGTGTGTGTGAGGCGGTGTGTATGAGTGTGTGTGTGAGGCGGTGTG